GATAGATAGATAGATAGATAGATAATATCAGAATAGAAACCTATGTACAGTTTAAAAAACACCTAAAGAGCTCATTTGCAAAAGCAAACTTTTTTTATTCATTGTTTATTTTTCAGGTAATATCTCTCAGACTGAAGCTGTGTGTAGACTGTATTGGGTCTTTGTAGATTTTGGATCACATAACAGCTCTATAATCAAAACTCTCAGGACACTGTTTCAGAATGACTTTTATCTGTTTTTGCAAATGAACTCTTTATTAGTAAAATGAGACCTACGTACAGCTGCACAGATGTATTTATGTTGCATGGTTCAACAGTGTCTGAAAGGAGGAAGTGCATCCATAAATCAAACACTAATAAAAGAGGGCACTCAAAATGATTCGTCTTTAAATAAATATTCAATCAGGTATATAGTATGTATAGCTTGATAATTGGATTTAAGGTCATAATAAAGTGTTTTACATTCAGTGATAAATACTGTGAAGTATGGGTGGTATTTATTGAAATTTAGCCTAGCAAGTAGCATTTACCTGAAAAATCATCCGCTGCCATCTTTAAACCGTGACCTCACTGCTACTCTTTTTTTATTTTCATAACCCATGTTTGTAATGTTTTTATAGAAGTTTTTAAATTAATGAAAGCGCTTAATTTCAGTTAAAAGAAGGAATAAAAACTCTCTATCATGTTTTTAAACCCTCCCGGGTTTCCACTGTTACAGCTCTGAGTGCCGGTGCGCACGTACCGTTCTCTGTTTGTGTGCCTTCAGTTGTGCCGCGCTGTGATTTTCTATTGGTGCGCTTAATTTGTTCTCTGGCTCCTGATTGGCTCCGCTGTGGGTGTGTGAGAGCCACTCGTTTGACTGTTGTAGACTCTGATTGGCCGATTAAGACCCTCTCGACCCATTGGTCTAGAATGTTCAGTTTGCTGCTTTGCTATTGGCGAGCGCTTTTGTCATCGCGCGAGAATGCGGAAGTGGTGTAGTCTACTGAGTCACCGTTGTGTCAGCTGATCCTTTCTGAGTGAGTAACTCGATTTATTCTGTAAAATTAAGTAACTTCTGGATAATGTATTGGTCGTGACATGTTATCGGGGCTTTAAACTCGTGTTTGACATGTGAACCGTAAACTGTTTCGTCGTTTTATGGGGCAAATTAGCGAATTGTATACACAATTTCTACCACTGGTGCTATCCGGCAGCTAGCATAATGCTAACCTTCGCAAACACTCCACATACACACACACTTTCGGTTTGACTAAACTAGTCGCCTCCCTGTACAGAGACAGTCTTTAGTGAGGCTGTCGCCCACTTTCACTTTCACCTTAAAGGTGTTTCAACTTTGTCCCGGTTATCATACGTGTACACCTGTTGTTTTTGTGTCACGAGGCAAACTAAACGGGTCACCTGTTATATGTAATTTACCGGTAATGCTGGAAATGTCTCTGTTTCGATAAGAGGAAAGCCCCAACTGTACTGGAATTTTTTGTACATTTATATATACCAATGAAGAACAGAAACTGGTTTAGCTGAAGCCAAATGATAAATACTTTTATGATCCACTTTTATTCAGATCCTGATTCATAACAGACAGAAAATCACAATTAATATTGTTGATGTTGGTATTATGTGTAAGGCTACATAAAGCTGTAGTAAACCCATCATTACATTTCTTAATCAAAAAATAGATAAAAATGCATAAAAATTAGAATTATTCCAAATAAATATGTTTGAACTTCGCGCTGGCTTCACATACAAACAGGAAGTAGCAAAAACTTGTAAGGATTTCAAATGTAATGTTTTAAACTGAAATTTAAGAATTGTTCGCATGGTATTCGGTCGTCTCTCGACAGGAAGGTCGCAGGTTCGATCCCCAGATCCTGCAGCCACATGTCCAATGTGTCCGTGGGCAAGACACTTAACCCCATGTTGCTCCTGCTGCTTTGTTGGCGGCGTGGGAATGTGTGTGAATGGGGTTACTTAATACTACACTACTGCCATCAGTGTGAATGTGTAGGTGTGACCTGCGGTGTAGAAGCGCTTTGAGTAGTCAAAAGACTGGTAAAGAAATATTCAAGCTCAAGTTCATTTACCATTTACACAAACATGGTGGCTGCGACGAGAGCGTCCTACTTCTGCAGAGTCTGCCTACGCTAGCGGTCCTATTTTGGTCCGATTTCAAAATTGCAGCAGTTTGTGTTGTAAAAAATAAACATCACAGGCGTCTGAACAAATAAGATGCAGTCCTCATAAACCAGGATACGAGTGTTGATCATGAATAGCCAGTGTTCTCTGTGTGCATGTAAACAACAGAACCTGAAGATGATCAGAACCACGACAAGACTTGTATACAGGGATGCTCAAGTCCATGTCATCACACTCAAAAAGTGTAGCTGAGTGTTGTCAAAGGCTTTGGCTCTCGTGCCTCAGACCTGACCCCTTCACATCGACTCTATAAAAGCATTCAGCTGATGAAGATTTGGGAATAAGAAGATAACGAACGATAATTGTAATCACGAAACAGAGTGTCTGGTTTAAGTGTTTTTCACTCCCAGTTGGCTTCAGTTTCACCTCTTATCTACTTTCATTCTTTTCACCACGGTCAGACATTGTCCCACTGTCTTCCTCTTCTCCTTTTATCCCACGGTCAACTTCTTCGGTCAACTTCTTCTTTGGCAAACTAACTTCAGTTCACGTTGCCCCCGTTCATCTATGTCATAAGTGTCCCAGAGAGAAGTCATGAAGTGATGACGCAGGCGGTGATATTGTCAGGGATGTTGGTTTAGAGCGGCATATAGCTTGGGTCAGGACCATGACGACCTCACAGCGGATTTCCTCCTGGATGGAGAGACAGATGCTACAATGATGATGTTTTTTTTTTTATTTGCATGACAGCACCGTTTAACACTCCAGTGTTTGAAATACTTACAGTAACTGATTTTCATTTCTCTCAATGTTTTCCCCTGAAACTACATCACCTCCTCAGAAAACTAATCGAGCTATCGTAAATACAATTTAAAGCATTTGACTTCCATCTTAAACGTGAGAAGAATTTTTGCACCGATCCTAATAATATGTAAAAAAGCATTGAGGGGGCGCAGTGGTTAGTGCGCGCGCCCATGTATGGCGGCCTTGTTCCTCCAAGCGGGCGGCCCAGGTTCGAATCCCAACTGTGGCTCCTTTCCCTCATGTCATTCCCCACTCTATCGCCCTGATTTCTGAATCTATCCACTGTCCTATCTCTCAATTAAAGGCACACAAAGCCCAAAAACTAATCTTTAAAAATAGCACAAAAAAAAGCATTGAGTTTTAGGGTGGTTTCACACTAGTGACCTGGGCCCAGATCCAAGTACTCTCAACCTCAAAGTCTGGTTCATTTGATCAGTGTGAACACAAACGTACCGTACTCTGGTACTATGCCCGCGTACGCTTGAAGAGTCAGTCTTTAGCACGATTCATGTGTCTGTGGGAGACGTGAACGCGACCATGCTCAAACAAGGAAGTGGACCGCTATACGTCGTAATTCTAAACGGCTCCTGTTGCTTCAAAAACCGTTGTATCTGGCACAGCACGGGCCGGTTTCATCCTCTAAGCTGCACGGTAGATGTGGAAGTATAGGACGAGGGTCGTTGTTGCCCTCACAGTTAGCAGGATGGACGCAGTCTACCAGTGGTCGCCATGGTTGCTTCTTCTTCTTTATTCTGCCGTTTGACAGATTTGCAAACTTTGTGCATACTGATGTTTTATTAACCCTTCATTGAGCAGACAGCTGTGAGGCGATTCGGTTCAGTAGTTTACTGAAACAGCGAGGCCTTGAAATATTCAGAAATGTATTTTTAGTTCACTGAATGAAAGTCATGTACAGTATGCAGCAGTAACAATAGCAGAACAGGATCTGACATGAATAAACGTGGCCAAATACTGAAGAAGGTGTGGTACTAACCTGCGATCAATAGCAGCTTTTCTCTCCTCCCCTTTGTGTTCAGAGAAACACGACACACCTTACAGTGTGTGGACTCTTAAGATAAGACATTTGATTATGTTAAATATGTCTCATTAAAAATAAGATAACACCAAAGGTGCTGCCTCTTATTTAAAACCTTTTTTTTCTTATCATATCAGATAAACTGATGTCAGATTCATGAGCACGTGGAGTTAAGGTCGACGACCAGTCTGTCAGCTGATTTTCTCTAAACAATGCAGAGACAGGTTGATCACAGTGAGGCTGCAGCTTTGAAAGATTGCATGAAGGGACGGTATTTGTGATTCCACATGACCTACAGCGCTCCAACAGGTGAGCTAATTGGCTAAAATATATTCCCAGCTGGGAGGAGACCCTGGGGCAGGGATTATATGTCCCGTCTAGCCTGGGAACGCCTCGGAATCCCCCAGAAGGAGCTGGAAAGTGTTGCTGGGGAGAGGGAAGTCTGGGTTGACTTACTGCACCTGCTGCCACCGTGACCCGACCTCAGATAAGCGGAGGAAAATGGATGGATATTCTTAACAGCAAAAAAGCAGCATACTCAATCAGTTAGAAAACTTTGGGGTGCACGATTGCAAAAAAAACTAACAAGAAAATGGGACCGGTTCGATATTGACGTAATTTACAGATCGTATATCAGACTGACGGCGCTGATCCTTGTCACTGATCAAGAAAGGTCATTGACGACTTCAAACATTCTAAGCTCGTTCAGTCTCACTCTGAAGCCTCTCAGACTGAAGTGTAAGAAGGGTCCACAAATCGTCTCCATGACAACGGTCTGACAAGATTTAAATTATTGCTCTTTAAAGGCAGATTATGTGATTTTTCACACTTAAATATAACAGAAATCAAGTATATCCTCTGAAAATAACTGATTCATGACTGTCTACAACAGTTGACACCTGAGTCCCACTGTCTGTGATGTTATCTGAGCTTTCCAAGTCCTATCTTCACTTTGTTTACATCGCCGGGACGGCAGGCCAGCTCATAGTTGTTTAATTGAGGGACTAGAGAAAAAATTAATAACATACTGTACTCACTGCTTAACTGTGTTTCTAGATCACGCTCATTTCAGGTAAATTTACATGCAGTGTGAAGATATGAGCATAATAAAGAGCGCTAGCATTAGCATGCTAACACAACAATGCACCGCAAGTTGTTTTGGTTTCATGCTGGTGCTCAAGGGTTACACCTGCTGGATCAAAAAATCGCATATTCTGCCTTTAAATAAGAAATGCAATGCTGGGTTTACTAACGCTATGTGTAACCTTACAAATAACAACCAACATCAGTCATTACAATATAAGTTATTATAAAAATAAATATCGGTATCAGTACATGTGTATCAGAATCGGATCGGAACGGAAACAAAATGGTTCTGTACATCTCTACTCAATGTCCTTTAAAGTTGTCTAATCTGGGTCGAGCAGCAGCGTACAGAATGACAACGGACTCGGTCTGAGTTGACCGTAGTCAAGACGACCGGGCGAAACCGACCTGAGGAAGAGAATGTGTTTACAGACAAGCTTATGTATCCGAGTATAATTTGCATGACTTTTTTTTTTTATCACAGCAGCACATACAGCAACGGTGCGGCGGCTTTAGTAGCAGCACATGTCGCGGTCTGTGACGTAACATCCAGTGTTTTCGCGGCAACGATAAACGATAAAGTCGTGTCTGTCATGGCGGGGTCCATGACCACACCAGTCTTGTTACAACTGTATAATAAAGGATTTCTCTGGCGTAAGTTGGAAATATTTTAAGGGTAATGTAAGAACACAACAACAAACATAAGTTTAGTCCTTTTTAAATTTATTGAGATATTTTGTGCGTTGAAGTTCTCCATTCTTCAAACGACCAAGTAATTGACGCAGGAAGAAGGTTTTGTCTTCTTTTTCGCTTTTACTCGGTTGTTATAACGCTGAATCAGTTTTAACAAATCCAATCAGACTTTAGCTCACGCCTCATTTCTTTTTCAGCTCTCGTTCTTTGTGTGTAGTTCAATTGTCTGGCTCTTTTTTTTTTGCATGAGGAGGTGACTCACAACGCCCAGAGTGTATTTTACCTCTTTTGAAAACAATTATGACCGGTTGCCTACATGTGGTGATTTCTGTATTTATTACCTATTAGAGCTGAAAGCCTTCCCTGTTGTTAAAATGAGTCACGAGTTGAGGTGGGTAAAAAGAGAGCGGCCCCGTGCCCTGTAGTATGGCTCCTTTCGCTTTGAGTGGCCTGGCACAGAGAGAGTGGGCGGGAGAACGAGTAAGCAATAGAGACAAGGCGAGGGAGTGAGTGAGTGAGCGAGGGAGGGAGGTATGTCATGCTCTGGATTACAACCAGAGTGTTTTGGGAGACGGAGACTGCAGCCACTTAGCAAGACACTGACTTTAAATTCACTTTAAAAGGTTGAAAGGGAAAAGTTTGCAGCTTCTGCAGCACTCTGTTCAGGTGAGAGACGTCGAGTTACTTTTTATGAGTCGAGAGTAGTATCTTTTCCTTTATTTATTTATCTTGGAGCGTGTGCAAAAGGGGGTGTGTCTGGAACAAAAAAAAAACTAGTGTAGGAAAGTGGGACAGTGAGCACTTCAGTCCTAAATCAAGTTGTTTCCTTGTAATCGATGTGTAGTAGATATTTCTGTTCCTAAACACAGGAGAGGGAACACTCTGTGTTTAGTCTGGCTTCCTGTTTGTTTAAATTCTCTTCTTAGTAAACTTTCAACGAGCATCCTGACTTCACAGGAAGAGAGAACACAGTGCAAAGTTACTTTTCATGCAGTGACTCTTAAGAGTTTTACTGTTTTTAAACTTGCTTTTTCATATGTTGAGACACTTTAGGAATGCACAACACCGTTCAGCTATCGTTAACTGTTTAACGATATCTTCCATTTATTATAATTTATCTTATCCACCTGACTGGCAGCACCCGTGGGTGTATATGGGTGTGGAGAAAAGTTGTATACTTTGTCCACGTCTGCTGTACACTTGGCCTGAAGATATCTTGTTTGGCTTCCAGTAATCTCTCAGAGAATGTTGAGTATACATTTTCTGCAAGTTGCTCCCATGAGGTCAGGTTAGGTGAGCCGACTTCATGCATGTGGCTGCATGCATGTCTGCAGCGCTGCATGTGTGGAGCTTGTTTGCACTGACTTGACCTCATTTTGAGAGTACAGGCTGTTTCTTTTTGAACCAGGCAGCCAGGATTTTTGCAGAGGTAGCATAGGGTTCAATAAAAATAAAAATGTACTTGACCTCTTGAAAACTTGGATTTCATTGTCAGCTTTTGCTCCTCCTGCTGCACTTAAGACCAAGAAAGGCTTGTCTTTGGCATCCTTCCATTTACGCAATCACACACTCCAAAGCCACCCACACACGCACACACAACACACACACCATGTCTGAAGAGAGTGTGTTTTTGTGTTTGCAGGAACCATTACTGGCACAGTAGAGCCCAGTAGACTGGAGGAGAGGGAGGGATCTGACGAGGAGCGCCCTTTCCGACTGTCTACAACACCGGCAGGCAGCATGGTGAGCCAATCACATTACAGGGGAGGGGATCTGATGTGTTTGCACAAGCTGCTGTAGATTATCTGGATGCTCCTATGAGCTCCCTTCATGCATTCTGTAGATAAGATGGCAAGTTGGGACTCGCTGTCATACAGGAAATGGCACAACCCTCCCACAGGGTGTTACACAGAACATGGTGTTGCAACATGCTACAAAAACTTTTGTCACTTTTTTTGGTAACGAGTCACACATGTGGCTTAGAGCTGCACGGTTTTTATTATTTTCTAAAATGTCTCCTATGACGGTCCTTTTTTGTCCTTCATACTGTTGATCAAGCTTTTCTCTCGTTGATCACATGCAGGAGCAATACAAGGTGGACAACATTTTCACTTACAGTATTGGGCCAAACCTTTGTTTACGTTTTAGTTCAATGAAATTTAAGCAGACAAATTTTTGGCTTGCAAACAACAAAACATACTGATAGGTCAATTGGGCAGGTAAAATGTCAGCTGACTGTGAATTTCCAGAGGGCAAATAGCTCCTCGATCTCAAAACTACCGTACTTAAAGGTCACATATGGTGCAAAATCCACTTCTCCATGTTCCTCTACCTCTAATATGTGTCTCTTGTCTGTCTACAAACCCCCCAATGATGAGAAAAGTCCATCCTCTCCGTCTTTTGCCTGCTCCACTTTTCAGAAAATGGTGCTCAAACAGGTCGTTTGGAGATTTTCCCTTCATGACATCACAAAGGGCAGTAACCCCTCCCCCAGGTGGGTGACACTCCCACAGCTAGGTGTTTGTTCTGCCCTCTGAGTCTGCCTTCTCACCGTAAACAATAGGACATGGAGCGAGATAGCCCGAGCCACCCAAGCCCTTCCAGAGAGGGGGCGTGGTCAGACACAGCTCATTTACATTTAAAGGTACAGACACAGAAACAGCCTGTTCTGAGCAGGGCTGAAATAGAGGGGTTTATAGACATGATCAAATACAGGATCAGAGTGGAATTTAGAACAAGACACTTTACACACGTTTTGGGGAGCTCTGAGACTTCTTTACACTGGTTGAAGAGGAGGAGAATATGTCACAATTAATACAGTATCTTGCCTTAAAGTTCAAATAAGAATATTTCTGCATCAGTTTTTTTTGAATGATGTACAAATTTAAGTAAAAGTGAAAACTCTATTACAGAAAAATGAGGTTCAGCTGTTGGAGCAGCACCTTCAGCTTGCGCTCAGGTTCTAACAATTAACATGGTCATGAAGCCAGTGACAGATCATGTAAACTTTGCATTAGCTACTCCAAGTAGTTGTTCATCCTCAGGCAGCATCTTTCTCCACTCTAGAAGTTAAGTCTCCTCAGCACGATATCGGCTTTACTGAATTGTTTTGTTTCATTCAGGAAGGCGCTGCTGCATCAGTAAAAGTGCTCTGACAAGTAACAGATGTGAAGTCTTTGATGTAGCTCCCTGCCACATGTGTCTCCTGCACAACTCTCCATTCTGCACAACAAGACTGTTAACATAATATTCACAAGAACAAGCTCATAGCAACACGTGCTATTTCAAATTATACAATACATGAGCTACACATTTAATGATCACTTCTTTCTATTTCTGTCTTTCTTTATTCACTTTATTAATCCCAGAGGGGAATGTCTGATTTACACTCTGTTATTGAGAGACACACATAGACCCCAAGTTACACACCTGCAGAAACAGGAGCTGTGGACATGCATTAGTGGACAGATGTTAGTTAGTGGGGCTGCTACACAGGGAGCCCACCAGAGCTGTCAGGGGTTCAGTGCCTTGCTCAAGAGCACCTCAGCATTACTCAGGAAGCTAGCTGTCACCTTTCCAGCAGCCAGACCAACTTCTTAAAAAAATGTGTCCATACCAGGACTTGAACCAGCGACCCTCCGGTTCCCAACCCAGGTCCCTACAGTCTGAGCTGCCACCATTAACTGAATGCAAATCTTAGTTTTATGTCCAGAATCTGAATATAAATGTTGGTGTGATGTAGTGAATCTAGTGATGAAGATGTCCTCCTGTGCTCTGCTACTGGAAGGGCTGACCCGAGATCTGTTTATTTGCCCTCTAGTGGACACTATCTGCTATTACGCTCTCTGGCAACAACTGAGACTGCACTTTTTATTTCTTGTATTTGAATTTGAGTTTAATTATTTAATAGGGACGATGCAATTTCAACACAGTTTTAATTTGAAGCATGAAACTGATGTGCTGCACAGAGAGTTTGAGGCTGTTGCTAATTTCCAACTCTTGTCCTGTTGTTGGGTCTTTGGGTAAACAAGCTGAGTATAAAAGATACAACATTCAATCACATAAATCCACATAAACCAGCGGCAATGGAGCTGGCTCTGTCAGTTAAAACTGTCCCCCCAGGACTGATGTTTTTTTCCTGCAGCTGTGGGAACAGCTCTGGTTGGCTTATAGACAGAATTTCACCTTTTTTATGGTAAAAGATTTTAATTCTTGCTCCATAGTTTTCAGCCTTAAATGGAGAGAGCTGATTGTCCAATTGTAGATCTAAAGCTTTGCATGTCACAGTTTCCATTCATCGCGCTTCTAGTTACCCCGTTTCTGTCTGTGAACATATCTGGAGAGAGGTTTCAGGGTCTGAATTTTTTTTATCATTTACAAATGAGTTTGAGGAAACATGAATACACAAAGCTCTTAAAACTAAGCAGGTTTTTCCCAAGAGTTTCTTCATTCATTCAGATAACGATTCATCCCTAAAGAATTTAAACGAGTTGAATCGACTTAAAGCCGCGACGTCAGTGTGAGAATTAGTCGTGCATTTGAAGACGAGAAGTGGTTTGTCAAGTGACGCTGCAGTCATGGCCTGAAGGTTGTAATTACACTGAAGCATAGCAAATAAAATGGGCATGATGCAAGACTGTTAGTGGGTCACGACTCTGCTTAAAGTTCAAGTGAGCAATACAAGCTTTACTTCTTTTAAAACAGTTATTCTTCAGTGTATATAATGTTTACAGTGATATGATGAGGGTGCATATTATATCTGACATAAGCGCTCCCTCTCTCAGAGCTTTGGAAACATGCAGACTTATATTCTATTTCACTTTTAGCAGAGAACATGAAAACTACTGTATGCTGTAATAGTAGTAGTATACTTGGTTATTTTGCGGGTAGAACTCTGGGCACTGAATGTCCTCTTCCCCCCTCCCCTCCTTTTTCTATGTACACATACAGTGCATGTTGTCCAGCCGGGACAGCCAGTGCTTTAAGAGGGAGGAAGCAGTGACCAGATGAGTGATAAATTCCTCTTGAAGCTAATGTGTGCAGCTTTTATGGGACAGAAATAGGAAGTGTCACAGGAGGATGTGTGTCCCGTGGTTCTGGTCAACTGCGTGCACAGAATGCCACCCTGGCCGTCCGCCAAGCTCTCAGCCTTTTTATGGGACACACACACTCGAGCTCTGGGCTTAATTGATGGCGGGGCTGACGGACAAAATAATGTGCCCAGCGAGGCAAGTTAAATGAGAGCGCAGATCTCAGATGATTCTGGGCTAGTCCCGTGTTAAAGCTCGGTTTCATGTGTTTCACTGATCTTGTCTTGATAAGTGTGTTGCATGGCATGGTAATGTTGCATGTGCTATCAGGTGTACTGGACACATCTTAGTATTTTTTTCTAAGTCACTGCAACAGGTAATGAGTTTGATTGCTGCAGATCAGAAAAGCAATGTTTAAGGAAAAGTTGCACAAAAACTGGACACATACAGAGACATTTGGTGCATTTCATTTCATTGCATTAGTAGGTCACTTTCGAGTGTCTGTGTGGTCACAGCTAATGATATTTCCATCTGTTGTCAGTCGCTGTTGATCTAACGGTTATCTTCTGTGAGACGTTTGTTCCACAGGTAACACGATACGCTTAATCCCGTCTTGTGAGGCAGCGCTTAATTGCTTCCCAGCCTCCAGTTGTTTTTTTCTCTGCAGCAAAACAGGAAGTATTGAGTTCACTCATGCTGCCGTATTGTCAGTTGGATAATAGGAGCATGAAAACAGGGACAATTGGGTTGTTTTACCCTGCCCTCACTTCCCACAATGCACTGTAACGCTACCTTGTAGGGGCTGAACTGCTTTGTGAAGTTTGTGTTCAGGAAGCATGCAAAGACTGACACAGTGTTTCTGCCCAATTCAGTGACACCTGTTCAGATAAGGATAAGGTCACTTAATGCACAGGTGTTGTTTTATTTGTTTTGGTGTGTTTTTTAAAATGCACCAGAGGCTCACAAAAAGGATAAACAGCTGATAGTTCATGCAGTGTTGTTGTTAATGATTTGACCCTCTCTCCTTTATGGCACTGTAGCTACTGTTTAACCCTCGATCTGGTTCTCAAAGTCCTGCTATCACTGTTTAGTGTTTCCTGTTCCTCCTTTTCAGTCGGTTCAAGTTATACTAAATGTTTTGTTTATTTTTGTTTTATATTTTTAGAGTCTATTGACCGTAACTTCTGCAAAGAGTTACATGTTTGGCATGTTTATATGAGAAAGCCTGCTTGTCGTCATATGAACACATCTTTTTAGATGAATCCTGCTTCAGCTTAAAGGGAGAATGTGTGACTTTTTGATCCAGTAGAGCACCATCATTAAACCAAAACAAACTGCTGTTTGGCCACACTGAAGCCTACGTTATCCTCAAGCGACACACCTTCAACCTCCTCCCCCCTCTTGAGTTTACATGGAGAACTTAGGCGCAAGCGGCGGACAAAATTGTCCATTGCCTGTGTCTTGCATTGTTGTGTTAGCAGGCTAGAGTTAGCGCTCTTTAGTTATCTCGTAGCTTCACATTGCATATTGACAGGGAATGACCGTGATCTAAAAACACTTACACAAGACTTTATTTATATTGCACCTTTAAAAAAACTCAGGTCTGCAAAGTGCTTTGATGGACAGCAAATGCATAAAAAGAACAAAGTAAAAGATCCCAAAGACAGAAGAAAGAACAACCCAAGAATGGGGCGCCGGATAGCCTAGCAGTTG